TGTTTAGAAACGCGCTTGTCAGTGATAAGGTGCAGAAGTTGTAGCCTGTTAGAAAATGCCTTTTAAATTTAAGCCTCACCACTGAGAAGAATGCTTTCTCGGCCAAGAAAATAACTCTGGACTCTAAAATAAAAATTGAGAGTTTCAATTTGAGAAATATGGGGAGAGATTTCTCAGCAATTAGATGTGAATCATATAATTCTAAGCTTTCTTTCTCAGCTAGGAAAGAGAAAGCCAGAAAGAAACAAGTCTAGCACTGCTGCCCACTGAAAGCATTTAAGGGCAAATCAAAACTCCTTTTAATTAGTCCAGGCCCTATGAACCAGCTCACTTGTGAATGAGGCAGAGAAGACTGGAGCCAAGAGGGATGAGGATAAAGTCTCAGGCATGTGGTGTCAGAGGCCATGGTGACCTCAAATTCAAGAGTCCTAGACAAAGCTCCAGACAAACACACAAAGCAAATTAAGTAGATTAAAAACCAAAAGTAGATTAAACTGAAATCATTGATTACATGGATTGTTTAGAATGACAGCTATGTCTCTTTATCCAACTTCAACCACCCAGTATTAAAGAAACTTTGTTCCTCATGCAATATTATTCAAAATGGGTGACCCTGGAGGACATTATCTTGAGTGAAATATCTCAGTCACAAAAGGACAAATACTGTATGGTGCCACTGTTGTAGAGTGAGGCTGACATCAGGGTGGGGGTAAGACTGAGAAAAACAGGACAAATTATGTATACTGCATTGAAGCCGATGAAGGAGAGAACAGTTTAAAAGCAATATATTTTAGGGCATTATGATTATCATAGGAGTTCAGAAAGAGGGTTGCAGAGTGCAGTATACTCAGGGTGGGGGGTGGGAAGGTGCAGGGGGATTGTATACTAACGAAGGAGTTTTTCTTTTGCTTTTCAAGGAGAAAAGTGCAAAAATGAATTAATGGAAATCCAAAATCTCTGTAAATGTTCATTGAAATGAATAAAAAAAAAAGGAAACTTTGTTCCATAATCGACCCATAGCTGACCCTCCAGTGGGTTTCAAGAGGCAGTAAACAGCATGAGAGAAGACTGCCCGTCTTTCTCCCATGGAGTCGCTGGTAAATTTAAATCCCATACCTTTGTGTCGGCAGCTCAATTCCTTACCAATAAGTCATCCGAGTTCCCCATTTGAATGTTAGAACTCCCTTTATTAGAAGGACTTTTAAAACACTGCCTCCTCATGGCCAAGTCACAATCCCACTACAGTTCATCTTGTTGTTGTTTTGGCTGTTGTTGCTCTTGTTGTTGTTAAGTGTTGCTGAATCATAGACGACTCATAGTGACCCTATGAACGAAAGACCTCAACATTTGTATAACTTTCATTGTTGCTCCAAGTTCATAGAGTTTCCGGAGGCAAGCTATTTCGGAAGTGGATGCCACTCCTGCTTCCAAGCTTGTTTTAATCGGGGAGCTCCACCAAACACAGTCCACCATGGGAAAACATGTCACAGTAATCAGTGGCAATGTGTTTAGTATCCTAGCAACCACAAGTTACCTCTGTACAGTTCATTTTACTTATGGAAAACTTGTACCAAACCCTACTCATAACAAATTGTTCATCACCATCACCTTCACCTACTGTATGTGCCACTTCAAGTCTTGCGCTGGGCTAAAATAAGGCTAAAGGAGACCGGGATGCATCTGTTCCAACCCACCTGCAAATGCTACAGGCACAGTTAGAGACTGACCTCATTTGTAACTCGGGACCGCCTGTAAACCACAGTTTCTGGGTGTGAGGCAAAGACCTGGCTACGCTGCAAAGCTGCCCGGGTGACTCCACCGTGCAGCCACACTTGAGAGCCACGGGCGAAGCCTCTCCGCAACCTTCCTCAATGATAAAAATTAAAGAATCCGCCTTGGCGAGTCCTTCTTCATCCTGGCTGATAGAATCACATTCTAAAATATTCTGATGTTGGCACCCTGGAAATTCTGATTCACTGATGTGGCCAGGGATTTAAGGACTTTAAGAACTCCTCGAGTAATTCGAATGTGTAACTAGGTAGAGAACCGTGAGTCTAGATGGTTTTGGTTATATTTTAAAACTTACTGTGATGTTACGGTTTAAAATGTACTTTAGATCATTTTAAATGCAGACACCTATGTGTCCTTTTAAATCAAGAATTTGCCCTTAAATGATATGCAAATGTGGGAAGGGCTATGTATGTATATTTTTGATCAAAAAAGCCCTGGTATCATAGTGGTTAAGCTCTTAGAGCTACTAAATGAAAGGTCAGCAGTTCAAACACAAAAGTGGTTCCATGGGATAAAAGCACTGAGGATCTGCTACAGAAAACAGTAGCGTCTAGGGATCCCTATGGGCCAGTATTCCTCGGTCATTCAGAAACTTTACAGCATACAACAACATCTTTGAGAAAGAAGGTTCTCTTTTAAAAGATTAAAGACCTAAAGACAGATTGGTACTTTCTGGTTTAAGCAAGTTAAACAATGAATGAAAAATGAAACTGATAAAAGCAGTGCTTTCAATTAGGTTATATTTTTTTAATTCATTCCTTGTTCCACATTTTTTCTCCCTCCCTCCCTCCACTCTCTCCCACTCCACTTTGCAATGCACCCCTTGTTCCAGACTATGTCATACATATGACATCTAATCATACATTCCTTTCAGATTGTTCTTCTCCTCATTTGTTCCATTTGTTTGTTATCGATCCATTCTTTTCCTGTTCTCCCTTCAATCCCCCATGTTACTCCTGCTTTATAACAGTGACATTATGCAGTGTTTGTCCTTTTGTGACAGAGATATTTCACTCCGTGTAATGTCCTCCAGGCTTATGCAGGCTTACATCCCTGGTACCATCAGTAAGAAAATCAAGAGCTGTGTTGCATTGAGAAAATATGCTGTTACAGACCTTCCCAAAGTGCTGCAGAGCAGTGATGTCAGTTTAAAACTAAAGTGTGCCTGATCCAAGCCACAGTCTTTTCAATTACTTGTTAAGCATCTGCAAGTTGGGCAGTGAATAAAAATGACAGAAGAACTGATGCCTTGGAGATGTGGTGTTGTACTCAATGTTCTATGGAATGTCAAAAGAATAAACAAATGTCTTGGAAATGGTGTAAGGAGGGTGGTCCTTAAAGACAAGGAGAGTAACGCTTTATCTCACGTGCTTTGGACATGTTGTTAGGAGAGAAAAATACACCATGCAAGGAAAGACGGACAGTCAGCAAAGGAGGGGAAGATCCTCAAGGAGATGAACTGGAATAATAACTACAACAATGATCTCAAGTGTATCAGAGATTATGAGGATGGCACAGGATAGGGCAGAGTTAAGATCTGTTGTTCACAGGACCACTGTGTGTCACAGGTGATGTGACAGCTCCTAAAAACAATCCACGCTGAAAGTTACAGTCTTTGAGCATCATTAGTAGGGGCTTCAAGTTTTTATTTTCTGCAAGCAAAATAGCATCATCTGCCTATCACAGGCTCTTACAGTCTTCCTCCGATCCTAACGCCACACTGTTCTTCATGTAGTCCAGTTTCTGGGATTATCTGCTTAGCATGCAGACTGAATAGCTATTGTGAACGGACAACACTGACACACATTTCCCCCGATTTTAAACCATGTAGCATGCCCGTGATCTTTAGTCTATGTACAGGTTCCACATAAATACAATTAAACGTTCAGTATTTCCCATTCTTCACTATTTTACTCATAATTTACTATGACATACACAACTGAATGCCTTTACGTAGTCATTACAAGATAAGTAAGCTGACACCTAGTGGTTGTGTATCTTTATTGCAGGATTAACTGAAATCGAACAGCCTGTCCTTTGGAAAATTTGTGAGATGACAGACATAAAAATGTCTGACCATAACTGTAAGTAATATGGGCTTGACAGGAGTCAGTATCAGGCTTTCTGGCTTTCCAAGCTGGACTTGTAAATATACTGTTCACACTGATACTCTGCATTTGTGTCTCCAATTCAGTTCAGACATTCACCTTAACAACTCAACTCATTGCCATCAAGTCAGAACCAACACAAGCTAACCATCCAGTCAGAAGGAGATCGTCCACATTTCTCCCGAGGAAGTGCTGGTGGATTTGAACTGTCATAGAGGCACACAGCCTTTGACTTAACAGTGGAACTCCCTACAGACTACACCACCAGAGCTAGTACATTTAAGATTATTGTGAAAAACCAGTAAGAAAATACATATAACACTTTCAGGAAAACACACGGCACAGAGTGAGAACCCATTAAATTCTAAATCATGTTACTGTTGTTACTAACGTTTTTATTAACATTTTAATGATCGTATAAGTCACTTAACTTCTTTGAGATTCACTCTTGCTCTGTAAGACAGGAAAAATAAGCTTTATCCAGATTACTTCATAAACTTACATTATGATCAAGGAAACAGATAGAAGCTATACGCTATTATTCTTGTGGCACCTCATCACATATCTGGGGATTCAGAGGAGACAGGAAGGGCAACCCTAAAAGACAGACAAAGTTCCTATCTCCAGGAAGAGCTTCTTGAGATAGCAATAATTTACAGGCAATACACACACACACATGTACATACATGCATCTGACACTCCAACTCTGAAGACATGGAACTGCCATGAATCTGAACAGAACTGGCAGCAATTTGTTACTGCTTGCTAGTTACTGGTTTAACTTCCCACTACAGGAGGGGAACAGTCAGAAGTTCACTCTGTTGTGGTTGCAGCAATCTCTTGTTGGGAAATGAATGACACCGACTATCACAGATGGGTCAGATCATCAGCCCACGTCCACTTCACACACTGGTTGACTACTCTCTCTCCCACTTAGAACCTCTCCCAGGGTCCAGCCCCAGATCCTATATCATCAGCATGTCTGCAAATAAGAAGTGTTTCACTGCACAGTGTGCCACGACCTGCCCCATCAGCAAAGATACATCATTCGAACCCCTCGGCAGCCTCAGCCAAGATGCGCAGTAGCCAGCTCTCACTTACCCGGAGTCTGCTTGGCCGTACGCACGGGTGTGTAGTGGTTTTTGGAGGACGATCGGACTGGCGTGTTCTCTTTGGGAGAGGTATCGATAGCCGAGATAGTTTCTCTTTCACAGTGTGCTATGGGGATTGGTCCTTGTTGCCGTAAGATGTCAGCCAGAGCCCTAAACAAGGAGGAGATCAGATAATCAGAGTCACAGAGCAGGTGCACATGGCTGCAAAGGGGGCAGCAGCTCACTTTCAGGGGTCCTCTGATTCCAGAGGGAAGGGAGGAGACAGAGGCACAGCATCCTGTTCTCAATAGTCACAGCTTCATCTGCTGCTGTCTCAGAGGGGACACAGGGGAGAGAGGTGGTCGTGTCTGGGACTGTGGGCACCAAAAGGCTGCCAAATACGATTTCTTTCCTCACTTTAGGTCCGTTCACATCAACAGGCCTTGAAGTGCTTTCAAAATACTGACCTCCCAAACACACAGCCATGGCAGGCAGGTAGCTAGGCAGCTGGTCAGCAGAACAGCACTCAGGGAAGGACTGGCATACGTGGCCTTAAGCTTGGAAATCAGATGTTAGCTCACTAACATCAGGACCCCCATCAAAAACCTACACAGAGGAACATGTACCAGACACTGGTAACACAAATGGGTACAATGCACAGATCTTGTCTCTAAAGAAAGGTGTGACTTAGCTGCAAATGTAAGGCATATGGATAAAAAATATAAATATGCAAACATATGGATAATGAGGACAGGTCATGCAAATGGAAGCTAAAGGAGAAAACTACAAATATGGAGAGAAAAATACAGACAGGAATGAGACACACAGAGACTCACCAGAGAGAGCTGAAAAGGGCAGTTACTCAGTATGAACATTTATTTAATACCTATGCCCAACAAACACATTTACATGTTCTGAGTACTCAGTGTGCATCAGCAACTGCTGATACAGAAGTAAAGACTTTTTCTCTTCAGAAGGAGATTGTCCACCTTTCTCCTGAAACAATTAGTGGATTCGAACTGCCTGCCTTTGGGTTGGCAGCACATCTCCTTAATCACTAGGGTACCTAGTCACAACTCATAGTGACCATAACAGAACAAAATGCCCACATAGTCCTGCACCAAATCTGGGACCTGTTTAGAGTATGGCAGGATTTTCACTGAGTGATTCTCAAAAGGAGAGTGAGTACCAGACCTTTCCTCCTAGTCTGCCTTAGTCTGGAAATTCCTTTTACACTTATTTGTCACCCTAACAACACATTACCCTTTAGTGTCAGACAAGTGCACCTGTCAGGGAAGGAGCCTGGGTCTCATACTTCCCAGGTGAGAAGTCTACCACAGAAACAACAATGCTTCATTTCTGCTCTCTAGGCACTCATAATTGGTTTATAATTGTGGTTGTAGTGAAAGTTTACAGAAAGGGTGGGTTTATAGTCATTAATTCATGTACATTTTTTTCCCTTCTCCCTCCCCCAACTGACTTTGTAATAGTATGTCATGTTCCAGATTGTCAATTGCCCTACAATCTCTAATCATCCATTCTCTTCAGAGTCCCTCCCTTCTCCCATACCAGTGTAGTGTTCATTATCTATCCCTTCTCTCCCCTCTGCCATGTCCATCTTATTTTTATAAAGTCGTCCTATACAGTATTTGTTCTTCACTCAGCATAATGTCTTCCAGACTGATCCATTTTGCACAGTGATTTACAAGTTCATTGATTTTTCAGTGTTGCATAATATTCCATTGTGTAGCCATACCAAACCAACCTATGTCACATTTGTCCTTTTTTAACTGGGATATTCCATTCAGTATAATGTTTTCCAGACTCACCCATGCTGTATAAAGTTTTACAAGTTCACTTTTTTCAGTGCTATGTAATATTCTGTTATATGGGTATACCACAGTGTCTCTATGCATGTGTTTGTTGACAAGCATTTGAGATGTTTCCATCTCTTTATTATTGTGAATAATGACACAATAAATATGAATTTGCAAACACCGATCTGCATCATGCCTCTGGTTTATTAGGCAGCTCAAATTTAAGGACGTTCTTCTCACTGGTTGAAAAGGGTACCCTCTGTGTGTACTTAATATGTAAGATAACCACTTGGAGAGGGACATCATGCTTGGAAGAATAGAGGATCAGTGAGGGAGAGGAAGACCCCCATCGAGGTAGACTGAGACTGTGACTTCAGCATGGCCTCTAATGTCTCAGAGATGATGAGAAAGGTATAGGAAAGAGCAGGTTTTTAGGGTAGCTATTAATGAAATAACATTTGAGCAAGAGCCTATGGTTATGAAGGAAGAAGTTCAAGCTGCTTTGAAGGAAACAGCAAAAAATAAGATCCCAGGAATAGATGGTATACCAATTGACATATTTCAACTAACAGATGCTGCCCTAGATGTGCTCACCAAGTTGTACCAAGAAATCTGGAGAACAACCACTTGGCCAACTGACTGAAAGAGATCTATACCCAACTGAGTGTGGAAACTACAGAACAATATCATTGATTTCACATGCAAGCAAGACTCTACTGAAGATTATCCAAAAACGACTGAAACAACACATCAGCAGAGAATTGCCAGAAGTCCAGGCTGGGTTTAGAAGGGGTCATGGTATTAGGGATATTATTGCTGATGTTAGATGGATCTTAGCTGAAAGCAAGGAATACCAGAAGAAGGTCTATCTGTGTTTCATTGATTATGCAAAGGTGTTTGACTGTGTGGATTGTAACAAACTGTGGCTGACTCTGAGAAGAATAGGAATCCCAGAACATTTAATCGTGCTAATGTGAAACCTATACTTGGAACCAAGAGGAAGTCATCAGAACAGAGCAGGGTAACACTGCATGGTTCAAAATTGGGAAGGGTGTGCGCCAGGGATGTGTCCTATCTCCATACCTTTTCAACCTGTATGCAGAGCAGATTATCCGAGAGGCTGGGCTCTATGAGGAGAAGAGTGGCGTCAGGATTGGTGGAAGATCTATTAACAATCTGCGTTATGTAGATGATACAACCCTGCTTGCTGAAAATGAGGAGGACCTCATGCACTTGCTGTAGAGTGTCAAGGACTGCAGCCTTCAGTATGGACTGAGGCTCAATGTCAAGAAGACAAAGATTCTCACCACTGGACCAATTGGTAGCATCAGGATGGATGGCAAAGAGATTGAGATTGTTCACAGCTTCAGTTTGCTTGACTCCACGGTCAACACTCTTGGCACCAGCAGCCAGGAAATAAAAAAAACGTATTGCAAAGGGAAAGTCTGCTGTTAGGGACCTCTCTAAAGTACTCAAGAGCAACGGTGTCTCTCTGGATACTAAGGTATGCCTGATACAGGCCCTGGTCTTTGCAATCACTTGTTATTCATCAGAGAGTTGGACAATGACTGGGGAGGATAGAAGGAGAATTGATGCCTTTGAGCTGTATACTTTGGACATGTAGTAAGGAGAGACCGGTCCTTGGAGAGGGACATCATGCTTGGGAGGGTGGAGAAACAGCGCAGGAGGGGAAGGCCCTCTATGAGGTGGACTGATCCAGTGACTGGGGTAATCAGGATGGATGTGTCAGAGGCAGTGCAATTGGCACAGGATAGAGCAGGGTTTAGGGCCATTGTACATAGGGTGGCTATGAGTCGCACGTGACTCAATGGCACATAACAACAACAACAACAACATTCACAGAGTCGCTGTAAGTCGTACTCGACTCAATGCCACCAAACAATCACAATATGTTAAACACAGAGCCAGGGATGCTCTAAGAAGTCAAAGATTAACTCTGGACAAATCACCACTGCCTGGTGGTGGCAATTCCAGATCCAGGTCTCATCTGGATCTCACAGCTCAGCCTTGTTCTGGGAGTACCTCTCGTGTTGGAGCAGAACATGGACCTTCCAATTGGCTCGAGAGGCACCCATATGGGATGGTAAGCCTACATCCCCTCAGGCCTGTCTGAGTCACCCTGGCCATCCTGAGACCCCATACTGTGCCCAGTCCAGTTCCAAGGAACACCAGAGTCAAGCTCTCTGCCTCCTTAGAAAGAGCAGAGCACAGCAGTTTAAAAACACATCTGAGAGTGACTTGTTTCCTTCCATTACACCGCCTTTGAGATGCTACGCCAAGGAGAAGAGCATCAAGCCAGCAATCTCATCATTTAGTGGCATTTATATAGTAATTTCAGATTTTCCAAATGCTTTACTCTCTTGACTTTTTCCTTTCCCAGCCCTGCTGAAGGAAGTGCGGGCACACATCACCATCCGTGCACACTCTCAGTGAATTAGTAAAGGAAGCCAGGGCAGGCTTGGAAGGCAGGTAATATGACTGAGCTCCAACACTTGGGGACCCTACAAAGTCAAAGAACCTGGGTTCCAATCCCAGTTCTACCATTAACTAGGCTTTAAAGCTTTGAGTAGGTTTGTTAACCTATGAAAGGGACATTTACTCCTATGGGACCTTTTTCCTCCTTCAGCAAAATAAAAGGTTTTAAATATTGTTGTTAGTGAGTAGCCTCAAGTTGAAATTGCCTCACAGCTGACCTTCCAGTGGGTTTGCAAAGGCAATAAATCACATGAGAGCAAGATGCCCATCTTTCTCCGGGAGACTGGCTGGTGAATCCAAACCACATATCTTTTTGTTGGCAGCTCAATTTGTTACCACTAAGCCACCAGCGCTCCCTTTATTTTATATACACATGTTGTTGTTGTTGTTGTTGTACTGCTGCTGCGTTGAGTATCATAGAGTCAGAACCAACCCATAGCTGACCCTCTGATGGGTTTTTGGAGGCAGTTACACAGGAGAAGATTGCTCATCTTTCTCCTGCAGGCAGATGGTGGATTTGAACCGCATGCCTTCAGGATTTCAGCAAAGCTTCTTGCCACTAGGCTACACACATATCTAATATATTTTTAGGGAGGTCTGATGGCCTAGCGGTAAGAAAAGGCACTGCAATCCTAAAGGCACGTGGTTCAAATCTAACAGATGCTCCATGGAAGATGGTAGGTCTCTTCCTGTGAGATTAACTGCCTCTGGAAACCCGATGGAGGGTCAACTATGAGCCAGTGCTGACGTGTGTGTGTGTGTGTGTGTGTGTGTGTGTGTGTGTGTGTGTGTGTGTGTTTACTAGGGGGGGGGAATCTCGCTGAGGTTGAGTTGGGACCAACTCATGACTGATTTTCT